CAACCAGAACCCCCTGCGCATCAACACCTCGAACCGCTCCACCTCGGTATCGGGAGGTTCCCGCCTGGCCAATGTTTCGAGCACCTCTGATCTCAACCTTCTCTCCGAGTCGTACGACTCGCCCGGCGCATTGTCCCTAGCTACTTCGCCGCCTTCCAGCAGCACGCCCGCCTTCTCTCCGCACTCTTTCACAGCGACCTCTCCCATCTCACTCTCCACGTCGGCCTCTGCCATGGGTCTACGTACTTCGCTCGAGGGCTTTCGCCTGCGCTCTCGCTCTGAGCTTGGCTCGGATTATCACCAGGAGCGTATTCGTATCGAGCGTCAAAAATGGCAAGACAAGGAGCGTGCGAAGCAGCAGAAACGCGATGAGAAGGAGCAAAAACGACGCGCGCGCGGCGACCATCACCGTACCGAGTCAGACGCTCGGGATCAGCAGGTAGAGGCCGCTGCCGAGGCCCTCATCAAGGCTCGTGCCGCCGCTCTCGACGACGGACTTGACGACCATACCTTCATCCGCAGTGACACTGCTGTTGAATCCACCTATGCCGGTGCTGGCTTCGCCGAGCTCAAGGAGCTCCCGCGCAGAGCTCGGTCTTCGGAGGAAGGTCGGCGCACGAGGAAGAAGACTGCCGCCGCTTCTCTTGGCGCGAGCTTGTCCCCTGTCACAAGCCAGCATGCCATGTCGGAGAAGAGCGTGCCAACGTTCGCAACCCGTGGCTACGCAAGCGTCGCGGCACAGGGTGTGGCATTTGAGACGCCACCGCGTGGCCGTACTGCTAAACGCAAGACTCAAAGCGCGTGGACAACTTTTACCTTGTGGTTCAAGTCGCTGCTGCTCAAGTCGAAGCGCCAGTAGCTTCTTTACCTGAAGGATGAGCCTCCGGACACAACGCAGACGCAGTTTCCCCTATGAACGTATGGGCTATCAAACTGCGATGCACAGGACATGGTCATCGAAAACGATGGCAAAATGTCTTTCTTCTCTGGCGCTAGAAAAAACAACAAACAACATACACGGCCATATCTTTCGCTTCGCCACTATACCCCTTTCTCACGGCAGCAGTACAAACCTCGACCAACTTTTCTCTTGGTAGAGGCAACCAGTCTCGTTTGCAGGCTGAGAGTGCTGCCGTTCTCTTTTTGATTTTATCTCGTCAGGATCTTGATCATCTGGTTTTTTGCAGGGCGTTAGGTTATGATTTAGGGATTGGGTTCGGGCCTCTTTATATCTTGGCATCATCCCCAGCAAGGGGCCAAACGGACGGGCCAGGGGTGCATTGCAGGAGACATTCATGCCAGGGAAACATTTTGGCTCCCGAAGGAGGGCCTGGAGTTGGTGGGTTTTGTGATTTTAGAGCGTTGGCTTTGGTCGGAAGTTATGGATAGATAGCCTTTTGAGGACAATGAACAGACAATCCGCCTTCCTACTTTCCGCTCTTCTCCCGTTTCTTCTTTTCAATTCGCTTCAAAATTGAGAACGTGAAGAGGCATGTGAGAGCACTCTGCTCGGACCCCACCACCTCTACCTTCATCGATGATCCAAGAAAACAAAAAGGTGATACACAAAACATACAACACCAGGTATTCGCTGGTGGTCACCCACCCAACTACTGATCCGGCCCTTACTGGTTTATCGCTGGGAGAGCAGACGGGATCCCGAGTTTTCCAGTAGGTATGGTCGTATGTGGTGGTTAGCACCCTTTGCAGAGATCATGTTTGTGGTCAGGGCTCTTGTGTGACGGGCTACGCATGTTGAGAAGGGCAATGGAACTAGGAATGCAGAGCATTCATTGAATACGTGCTTTGATTAAACTGTTCGATTTTTCGATGATGAAAGCTTCCAATCACATGCGTGGAAGAAGGTCGGGTCAAAGTTCTCACGCAGGCGACCTACACTCTCCTATCCCCGCCTCCCTGCTGCCCCTTCTCTCTGAGGTCTTTCAAGCACGGCGCATGGAACATCTCGCCCGTGAGCGCCAGCCGCAGCGTCCGCACAGCAACAACAAGCCACAAAAGGCACACAGATAGCGACAAGACCATGGTCAGGACCCGAAACACGTCGCTGTCGAGCTCCCGTCCCAGCATGCCCGTGCAGGTGGCCAACACGCCCAGGGGGAACGTGAAGCCCCACCAGCCCATGTTGAAAGGGAACTTCTGCAGGGCAGCGAGGCTCAGCAGCGCGAAGGACAGCCATGCCAGCGCAAACCCCCACATGCAGAGGGCCAGAAAGATGCCGAGGACGTAGAGGATCTCGCCTGCGCGCAGCAGCGGGTCGGCGTCGACGGTGCCGGCTGGGAAGAGCGACAGGGCGACGTTGCCGAGCTGCAGGATGCCGAAGCCGCCCTGGCCGAGGGGCCCGATGGGCAGGAAGACGGAGACGATGGCCTCGCGCGGAGGAAGGCTGTGGACGGTAAGGCGATGAAGGTATAGAGCGAGAACGAGGGCGGAGAAGCACTGTCCAAGACCCCAGAGGATGTATGAGACGGCAAGCGTTGTCACGGCGTGAGTGCGGGAGGGGAGGGCGGACGCAACGATGCCACCCGTGGCCGCGGCAACGACGGTTGGTACGATGGGGAGCAGGTAGGCGGCTGTGACGGCTTGAAGACCGGGCTTGTGTCGATGCATGCTGCTTTCATCAGCGGAGTTCCGACAGCGAAAGGTCAGGTATTCTCATGATAGTCGAGCTTTGTATTGCCACTTACACGATGAAGGGGACGGCTACACAGGTCGTGACAGAGATGAGCGCATCAAACCACCAGAAGCCCCAGGCCAGATACACAAGCCAATCTCCCCAGTGAGAACAGACAAAAATCATCATGTTGATGATGGCTGCTATAAGTCAGCGTTGATCCTGGTCGTCATGGTCGTGTAAGTGCGTGAGACTCACTGGCAAAACCCATGGGAAAGCAGCCCAGGAAGAGAGACTGGGCGGGATGTACCATCATAGCAGTCCAGATTTCCGGGTACAAGGCGTAGCGAACGACGGTCATGACGGTAAACACGGAGAACAAGCCAATGTTGAGGATGAAGAAGCCAACAGCAACGCCGTGAGAGATCCAAGGCATGTTGTAGGGCAGGTTGCGAAGCAAGATGCTGACGATGCCAGTGCCCATTGTGACTGCAAACCATCTGCATGTCTGGTCAGATCTTGTGGTCTGCTCGGCAAGCTCGTCTGGGGATCGTGGGTTCTCACGATGGGGTAAAGTTGCGGATGATCCTTCGCCATCCTACTTCCTCCTTGCGCTGGGTGCCTGAGCAGCCACCATTCCTAAGTTGGAGGGCGCAGGGCGTCTCTGCTGTGACTACTGTCGCCGCACTGGACATGGTGAATTCCCGGGGCGTGGTAAAGTCTGGTTGTTGACGAGCTCAAGATTGTAAAGATGCTGTCGACTTCGGGCCAAGTCAGGGTGTTCTTGCAGTCGCGTCGGCACTGCACTTCACGAGATAGCTACGGAGAGGAGACCAGTGGCGAGTCGACGACCTTGGACTATGTATTCTAGACATTTCCAGCCAGAAGTTCTGCCTCCAAACAGCCAAAACTCTTCACCGTCATGTCCAGGCGAAGCTGTGACTAATAGCCCGTAGGATGACCCCATCTCGGGTACTGCCACTTGCCTGAGTCCCTAGTGTTTGGTTACGAGCTTAGATCCCTCTAGGTGTTACGTTTCAGTGGCGTGCGGTCGCTGTGTCCGCTAAAAAAAAACCACTGGCGACCCCTTGGAGAACGCGCCAGCGGAGGAATGCCCGATGTGATCCAGGCGCCCTTACATAAGCAAGAGACCTTCCCCCTCAAGCCCAATGGGCACGGCGCCCTGTGAGGTCGAAATCTGTCTTACGGCCCTGACTCTTGGCTTTTCGCATCACTTCACATGGTAGGCAGCTAGTGTAACATCAACAAGGTTCGATCCAGGTCCTGCGTAAGCGCATCTTGATATCTCGCTATGTTGTGCCTACTCCGAACGTGATGCCATCGAGCCCCGGCCCTTGGCCGATGCGTGCTATTTTCTGTGGTGCTCACTCCTCACGCAAACTGGCGTTGTGCATCGAATGGCAGGTCTGTTACGACAGACTTGAGATCACCAGAAATAGAACTCTTCACCTCTTTGCACTCGACGGGACCAAGAGTTGACTTCGTATTGAGGAATGAAATCAAAAGCATACTACGTACATATCCTCAATGGTCTTCGATGTGGACTGCGTGGTGGTCGGCGCCGATGCGGCCCCTGCACTCCACTCGCCATCGGCCCCGCCGTCCGCCTTGGAGACTCAATCACACCACTGCGAACTTCGGCGCTAAGTCGGCGGAGACCCGTGACGCAAGCCCAACAAAGGCTGCTAAAATTGGACCGTTGTAGCGGTTCAGGGTCTAGTGTGCAACTGTTCAGCAAAACCTCGCATGCGTTGTTTCCGCTGTCGGAAGCTGCCGACAAACCGGCCACCATTTCCACTTTGTGACCTCAAACTTGCTCATACCAAGACGTTGACGACGACGAAAACAAGACGCCAGACAACGCCCTCCATCGCCTATCGACGGCTTTTGCCTCCGCATAGATCCCATCTTTGCCGCCACCCGGACTGGCACACCGCATTCCCCGCCAAGCAGGCTATGACCTTATGCGTCGCACCCCTGATCACGAGGAACCCTTTTGCCGCAGCCCTCCGCACGACCTCCAATCGATCCGACGACAATCTCCGTGTCGCTGGCGCTGCGAGTACGCACCACCGACCACTCAGCCCGAGTCAACGTCCACTTCTGCCCCACACCACCCCAGTGTCGACGACCATCGGATCATCCAGTCTCTCCGAGCCCTTCCGCCCACGTCGAATTGTCGGGTCGCCAGACAGCAGCGAGCCTGAAACTAAAGGACAGTCGACGGCCCTCATCTGCCCCCGCTTCCCAGCCAAGACTCATTCATCACCGCCATCGTTCCATAGCCATATGATCAACCTTTGAACCAAACAAGACCCCCTCCAACGTATACTTCATCTTCCCAACCATGGCCATCGACATCATCAACCAGATCCACTCGGCCTTCGGGTACGGTTCCTCCAAGGCCGATGCAAACAAGTTCGATCGTCTCGTGCAAGCGTTGAAAACAGCCCTTGGGCCGTCATCGGGCCTCGACTCGGATGACATCGACGTCGACTACTTAGCCGCTCTGATGCGAGACTACATCTCGTCTGAGGAGGATTGGGCCAAGTACGCCTTCGCTGATGCATCGAGGGGATACACCAGAAACCTCGTCGATGACGGCAACGGCAAGAGCAACCTCGTAAGTCCTAGACCGATAGTCGTAAAACCATGCCGGCATCGAATAGCATCTAACCCCCGAGGGCAGCTCGTCCTCGTCTGGTCGCCAGGCAAGGGCAGTCCCATCCATGACCATGGCAATGCCCACTGCCTGATGAAGATCCTCAAGGGAGACCTGACCGAGACCCGATATGCCTTCCCCGAGAGTGGTGGTGATCAAGACAAACCCATGAAGGTTGTGTCTGAAAGAACGCACAAGGAAGATGACTGCGCCTACATGGCAGATGAACTTGGTGTCCATCGTGTGTGGAACAAGGGCAGCGACTTCGCTGTATCCCTTCACCGTGCGTAGCTTCCTCCCCACCCCCCTCCGTCGCTTGACGTCGCGGCATCGACTTGACTGACAACTGGGACTACCAGTGTACACACCACCTAATGTCGCCAAGGGGGGTTGCAATGTCTTCAACCCAGAGACGGGCAAGCGTAGCCACGTGCCCAAATGTGGCTACTACTCGGCACATGGTCGTCGCCTGCCGAGTTCGTAAGCCATAAGGTGACGTGATCGATAAGGGCGGCGTTTGGGTTCGAGTTTGAATATGGATAAGGCGTGCTTGGAATTCTACTTGGCAAATTGCTATGATCTGGAAGATGGCTGCGTGCGATGGCATTTCGTTTCGTGTCGGCGTTGATGGCGCAGAGCAGAGCAGAGCGTCGTGACCGTGGCAGATTGATCGGCGACTAACCGGAGTTCAACATCCTCAAGTCATGTAACCCATTAAGGGTAAATATGGATAGCAAATATAACGAAGAACCATCCTACACAAGCATGAGAAGATGAAATGAGGTTGCAGGAAGAGAAAACCACCAGAGAGAGCCGCATAGTTGCTCATTGCCCTTGTGCTGGGCCATCTTCTGGTCACGTGAAATGTCGTGATTTTGCAACATACATATCATTGGTCAGAATGGATCCACCCGCGATGGCGTGCTTTTCTCGGATCAAGGGCCTGGAGGCTTCATCATCAGGCTTGACAGGGTGGCATCCGTCCGCGGTTCAAGTACTCCGTGTAGGTACTGACGGCTACAGGTAGTGCTTATCGGGGCAACATTCGATAATCTCATTCATCGCTGGCTGGTGCTACCTCATTGCTCGTCCGTCACGGCACCCACCCAGCACCTAAGGTAGGGTGCCGCGGGGAAGCCCATTCAAGGCCCCAGAGTACCTTACCTACCAACCTTACCTACCTAATTATAGGTAGCTCGGAATTAGTGATCAAGTCTTGAAAGTGCCACTCATCCATAGCAGTTTGTTCTACCTGTTGGTAAAGGTAAGCCCATCCAGCACGACGCGCCTGCACGAGGAGCCATGGTCGTGCTCAGGACGAGAACAAGTAATAAAACGTCCTTCCACAGTAGTCCTCGAACCCAGGTACTCGGGGTCTCTAACATGGGTAATATTCAGCACGTACGCATAGTATAATATCTTAGGAGGAGTATCAGCAAAACTTCGGTTTTCTCATCACCCTAGGTTGCTGCATTGCGAGGGGGCAACGTAGCCTGCAAACCACTTGGCGCCTATCAACCCTTCACGCTTTTTCAACCAAGCCACCAACACCTCCTATTTCATTGATACACCTTCAGTCCGCCAAATTTGTGCTCAGATGAAAGTGTAGGAAGATCATTTTTCGGAGCCTGCAGCATCGGAGTGGTTGATCTTCGGTTGAGCATGTTGCCAGCAAGATCTAGTTCCTCACATTGACTTCCACTTCAGAACAGAACACTTGCTTGCTTATCTCCTCTGGCTAGATCCTGTGCTCTCCCTTGTCTCTGTCGAAAAGATGCTCGGTGGTTCAGTGGATTTGATATCGAGATGCTGCTTGTCCTCAACAGCATGAGCAAAGATGACTATGAGCACTACCTTTTCTCCCATGTCGCCATCCGGTACGCCAGTCGCATCTTTGTGAAGCTGCGGCCGGCCGGAGGCGATCGTCGACTGCGGAACAGTCTGCCCGCCGGGCGATAAGACGGCGCCGCGGGCAAAAGGTCGAGTCCCCCCAAGCCCGCAGATCAACCCCGACCTGACTGCATCGGGCAGAAAATATGCCTCCATCTCAGCGTCACAAGTATCTCGAAGTACTCATAAGTGCACAGGGACCTAATCCTCTCGTGCCTAAAGATCATAGCCTTCTTATCGACTCGAACTCGGCGACGCCCTTACCCCACGTCAAGATAAGATTCCCGGTCTTTGAGGAAGACCGAGGTCAACCCCCAGATTCTTGGCGGAATATTGATAGGTAGGCATGAGCTGAGCATCATTCAGATGGTAGATCTTGATAGAGGGCACAGCACATAACCGCGGGCCAATATGCCCATGGCCTGGTGTAGATATATTGAGGTGAGGCCTCGCGAAGGATACGGTAAAAGGAAAACTCATCAAACCTGAGAAGTCAAGCATCAATCGATCCGCAAAACTTAGGTGCAGTCTTGTGACATTATACGTCTAACTTACCTCGAAAATACCCTATCTTGCCCAGATTATCCTTCGCCTCATCCGTCATGTCGCTCAAGATTGACGAGAAAGAAGGGGACGTGACCACAACACCAACGGCTGGGAGTGTGGTGGCGGAATCGAGCAATGCTATTGATCCAGTCTTGCAGAAACGGGTCATGCTTAAGCTCGACGCAGTCGTGTTGGGATGCTTTGGAATCATGTATCTGATGGCGAATCTGGACAGAAACAACCTGGTGAGTCGCCGATTCCCGCAACTGCGTACTCTGACCTTCAAGATGACTGACATGAATTTCTCGTTGTGAAGGGCAACACCAATATCATGGGGCTGCCCGAAGATCTGGGCCTCGAAGGCAATGAATTTGGCAACGCAGTAACATTATTCTTCGCGACTTACGTTGCCTTCGAGGCCCCTTGTTCAATTGCCCTCAAAGTCGTCGGACCAAAAAACCTGCTGTCGGTCTGTATGCTCGGCTGGGGCGTCACTTGCCTCGGCATGGGCTTCATCACCAACGTCCAACAGCTGTACGCCTGCCGCCTGATCATTGGTGCGTTCGAAGCCGGACTGATACCTTGCATCAACGCCTACATCGGCATGGTCTATCTCCGTAATGAGATGTCCCTGCGCTCTGCCATTATGTACGGCTTCAGCGCTTTGGCAGGTGCTGTTGGAGGTCTGCTAGCCTCAGCCGTTTCCAACATCAACGCAGGCGGCCTGCCCTCTTGGTCCTGGCTATTCATCATCGAAGGCATCATCACCATCGCCTGCGTTCCTGTCCTCTATACCATTTTCCCCAAGGATCCCCGGACCGCCTGGTTCTTGAATGAACAGGAGCGCGAAGTCATGCGTCTTCGTTTCGAATTAAACCCTCACCTGTCTCTCGAGGACAAGTTCTCGTGGGCCAAGGTGTTCAGCGCTTTCAAAGACCCGAAACTATACCTGCATGCCGTCCTCGAGTTCTGCGTCAGTCTTTCGCTCTTCAGTTTCATGACCTTCTTGCCTGCCGTCATCAGAGGATTGGGGTACGCTAGTGTCAAGGCCCAGCTACTCACGGTGCCGGTCTACCTCTGGGCCACCGTCGCTTATATCGGTATTGCCTTGGCGTCTGACCGTATCGGACTGCGCAGCCCCTTCATCGTTGGCGCGTGTGTGGCGCTCATCACTGGCTACACGATGATGCTCGCTAGCACGACCATTGGAGTCCGCCTCGCGGCAGTGTTTTGCCTCGGAACAGGCGTCTACGCAACGGTAAGCCATGTGAACAAAGCTGATCGTATGGCCGGTTCACTAATGTTTCTTTTGACAGTGTGGCCTCTGCATTGTGTGGCTAAATAGCAATTTCGCGGGACACTTCAAGCGTGCCACGGCGCTCGGCATCGTGTACAGCGTAGGGAACAGCTCAGGCATCGTCGTTGGCCAAATCTTTACCACGTCGAGCGCGCCACGGTATCTGAAAGGCGTGCGCATCAACACAGCTTTCGCTTCATTTGGGATCGTGCTTGTCATTCTACACGTCTTGGCACTGCGGCATGTGAATGCGAAGCGGAGGGAGAGATTGGCGACGCGGCTTCCAGTGGTGGTGGAACAGCCCAACGTGGGCTTCAGTGACTATGACGACACTTTTCGGTACAACTTGTAGGCGCACTGGGCGTCGGTGGTGGCTCATGAAGCTTGACTTCAGCGTCATGAGATGCAGGATATTTTCATCGATTTGTGGCCTGGCATGAAGTACCAAGGCGATTTTGTGGAGTGTCCAAATGGAATGGATGATGAATCTATGCTCTTTGTCCTCGCACCGACCGCCCTTTTCACCCCAAAGTAGGTGCGCAAAAGTACATTACATGAGAGGGAGTTGCCGACTGAACGAGAGCGACGGAGATACTTGACCCTTGGGTCGACTGTAGTGCGAGTTGGACTTCGCCCAGTCGATATCGAGTAGTATGACACATCACCATGTGATTGCCGTCGAAGCAAAGTGTGTGTGCCCTGACCAGAGTATTAATGTTGTCTCTGAACCAGCGAGCCATATATCTCTTTCGGTGGGCCTTCTTGTCTGTGTAAATTGCTGACGAAGGGCAAATACGAGAAGGGGTCCGGAAGACAGCTTCATGTTCCGAGTGCTCGGAACATTCCGATGCGAGCTCTGTTCACAGCACCCCTCAGTATACCGCTAAATCTACAGCATCCATGCGTTGCATTGCGTGAGTCGTAAAACACTTTGGGTTTGTCATCGTAATTGATGTGTCGTATCCGGTTGGGTTGATGAGCCTACGTCATTCGCTTCACTGGTATCGTCGGCCGGCCCGATGGCCGGGATAGGGTGCAGTGCACCGGACTAGGTTATCAGATCAAGCTTGGCCGCCTGTCCGGCCGGTCAGCGCACCATCCCATGCCAGAACTCGAAGATGGCAGCAAGGCAAACTGAATCATGGTGCCTAGCTTACGCCAAAAAAAAAAAAAGTGACCAGAGCGGCTGAAACAACACCCTAGGAACCTGGTCATCGCGATTTCTCACTACCTCTGACTCGTTAAATGCCGATTTGAAAACGTTCGGGTCGAGCTAGCCGCGCGCGATGTCAAGGCAGCAACAAGAGGATCATCGACGTCACGCAGGATACCCTTTTCATGATCTGTTGTGGATCTTATAAAATCACCGGGGACCTTCTGGCCTCGATTGGCGGGTTCAAGTCAACCCGGATAATCGTTGCCTCCCAACCACTCTCCTACTACATCACATCATGCCGTCAACCCTCTCACAGCTATGTAGTGCCCTGATAATTGGCACCCAACTTTGTTCTGCCGATACACTCTTCAGGTTCAACTCCACTCCGGAGGTTGAGGTCAGGTCGCTGGATGAAATCCATAAGGCTGCCCTTGCTGAAGGCGGCGTTGTTACGCTGTGGCACGGCGGCGACGAGACGAACCAGCAAGATGCCCTCAAGCAGGCGTTTGAGGCCCGGTTTCCTGGCATGACTCTCAACGTTACTGTCGACCTTTCCAAGTACCATGACGCCGCTTTCGATGACCAACTGGCACAT